AATAATAACCGTTACACCTATACCTACCCATATATTTTTTGTTATTTGTATTAATATTGTTGGTGAATGTCAATATGATAATCATTTAAAAATGACTAATGACTATGAAATCAAAATGGATAAATTATGTTTAAAAATTTTATCGATTTATTTAGTTTCATATGTTTTTGGTCCTCGTACTAGATTAGATGGGTTAAGTGATTATTTAATCCCTTACTACAAAATTTTATTGGAGTAGATATTGATATTGGTGATAAAATTAGAAAAATAAAAAAAAACTCATCATTAACTTACATGATCATTATAGTGCTAACTATAATAGACAACAGACTACATATGAAACTTCTCCATCCATAGATCTAAGTTAGTAGGGATCGTAAAATCTGTAAGGGAGAAAAACTATTGTTACAAAAAAAAAAAAAATCATCAGACTCAAACTTCAAGCTTAGTATGTATCTAATAATTTTTTTTGAATTTGGTGATAACACTGTAGGTATAGAGTTTAGTATTTTGAAATGATGTGCATAATACAAATAATTTTTTTAATTTTGATAATAATTATAAGATAAATAGTAATAACTTTAGTGCCAATAATAGTTGTGGAGAATGGCCCCACCCCCCGAATTAGTTGAAGCTCAAGTATGTATTAATGATTAAACAAAGATGATAAAACAAACCAAAATATCATCCACGAAAACAACAACCTCCTATTCAACATATAATCGAAAGGATAATCAAAACGTTTAACATTGGTAGTGATTAAAAAATTTATAATTTTATTTATTTTTATATCAACTTTTTTGTCATTACACTCATTATAGTTATATATTCATTTTTTTCAAATTTTAGAAAAAATAATTTTTTTATATTTTAAATTATTTATAATTTAAAAAATAATAAAAATTTATCAGTTCACACCGAAACCAGAATCGGCCCTCATCGGTTCAGTTTTGGTTTCAGATTTTAGAAAATTGAAATTGTCTATCTGTTTGAAATCGTGATTAGGGCTACTTATCCTCAAGACTTCATCCCTTTTCTACCTTCTTTTACATGTCAATCATTAGTGATCTTTCTGAGCATTACATTACTCTCATGTTTCAAGCATATCAAAATCAAGATATATTGAATAGCTTTAAGAACACAAAAGAAAGAAAAGGAAAAGGAGAACATGATTTACTACTTGTCTAAGCTTTATGGGAAGCTTTTCTAGTTGACTTTTAGTCCCATTTAGACCTCACTTTAATGCTGTGTCTGAAATCAAAGGTCAACACCAAGCTCCCATCAATCCTCTTCACGACAAACCTCTCCACCAACACGTAGCACGCAAACTTCTTCCACCTATTCATCCCTTCGTACTGCTCCAACCTCACCATCCTCTCCTCTTCATCGGCAATCCACCCTCCTCTCCCCTGCTCCCATTTGATACTTTCCCACATTGCCAAACTCAAACCAATCCCCTTAGCTCTCGAATCTAAAGGCTTGAACCATACCATGCCATCATCGCCATGCACAGTTCTGTCCTGCACCACCTCTTTGCCGCCATCCATCATAACCAGTAGGCTCCCGAAAAGAGCGTTCACTTCCACAACTTTGTCATGGCCACTGTGGTTCTCACAAGCATACACCTTCTGCCAGAACTGCTCCAGTGAGATCTCATAGAACATGGAACGCTTCATTTGGTCTCGCAAGCGACATGCTTCCTTGACAAACATGAACGGGCAGTACCATCTTCCGACAGTAATCTTCGGGCCATCTGCTGCACCTATGGGGAAGTTGAGGTCGGGCAGACATGCACGAAGACCCGCGTCGAGTCCCCAAGCCTCACGTAACGCATAATGCTTGGGCTTTGAGGCATAAAGCTTCCAGTGTTCCCTCCCTAGCAATGATGGAGGATGTCCGTCAGGAGCAACAGATTTCGCTGTAAATTTCCCGTTCCCATCATCCTTGATCTCCATTACTTGGTATACATTTCTGTGATCGAAAGCTCTCAATTTTGCATCCTTTACACCACCATGGCAAGAGCAGCATGCGATATCTTCCTTTGAACATGTATATACTTTCCTGTGGATCCAGTTCGTCGTCATAATCAAGAATAACATGCAAGAAAAAGTACAGTGATGAGGATTTAGGATCTTACCCTCTCTTTCTTCCTTTGGCGACGATGACGTAGTATCGATTGGATGATAATGGATGACCTACCGCAGGGATGAAGCAAACGGTAGCCTTGTTGGATCCGTTCTCACCTTTGAGTGGAGAGTATTTGATGGTAAGGATTCGGTCCTGAGGGAATGGGAGATTTCGAATTCGAGTCTCTTCGGGGCACCCAAAACAGCATGCGGACTCAGGTTCAGATTCCTCGTCTTTGAGCACGATATATCCAGAATTCGAACCTGGTTTTGGTTGATCGAGAGACCATCTTGAGAGTGTCTTTGCTGCGTACATGGATATCTGCTTGTGGGCATCAGGTTTAGGAAGATCGTAGCTCTCTATAGATAGCAGTGAGGATTGAACGAGTGAAGTTGCCAAGAAGCTTAGTTGAAGCTTCATCCTACTCGTATCTTGCTTGCACTTCAAGTTTAAAGACTTCATGGTTGCACGTCAATGAAGCAAGTCAACTTTACATCTTCTTCTTCTTTTTGTTTTCATTTATTTGATTTGAGGAGAAACCTCTGGATACATACAAACATAATGTTTCTGACCTCTTCAAACATTGCGGCGGATGATGCAATGTTGTGTTGACTTCCATTTAATAGCATTCGTTGACTTCTGTTGTCTGTCTTGATAGCAACAGTGGCTTGAATCCATTGATTTCATGATATTTGAAACGAAACTACAAAGAACGAAGAGGGATATCCTTTTTTACAAAGAAAACACTCTCCTTCCTGCCTTTATACATATCTTTTTCTTTTTCCCTTTTTTTTTTTTTTTGGAAGAGCAACCCTGTCCAAAGGCATCAAGGGCATGTACATACTAAGAACATAACTTTTGTGCAATCATTTCTTATTTTGGCCAGTCAACGAAGAACTTTCAACCACAAAATCTACCTCTCCTCTTTGAAAATCCAGACATTATTGTTTATATTATAGAAGCAACAAGAATCAAATATACTAAACAAAAGAAAAAAAAGAGATTCAGAGATCTGAGAGAGAAAGTACCATCATGGCCTCATTAGCAGCCTCCCAAAGAACAAACAATAAAATAACAGAAAAGAATACCAAACGAAGCTAAATAACAAGTCTAATAAGAATTAAAAATAGGAATGAATGATTCAAGATACATAAAGAGGGTTTAGAAATACATATCTTTGGATGACACCTTGTGCAGATGAACATGGGAATGGGAATCATTTTTTTCCTTAAATCTGTAAATCCCACTAAGTGTTGGATGTGCAAACTCATATTGTAAATATCGAGATTTTTGATTGATTAAGCTACACAAACCAATGTTGCTTGGCCACATGAAATCCTTCTAGGTGTAGAAAGTCAATCTTGAGAGGCCCTCCCATCCCTGCAGAAGCAAAATACAAGCAGGTTAAGAATAGGATAAGTTGTGGTATTCGCTCATCTGATAGTTACACAGGCAAATATAACTTAATCTTTATATGGAAATTGTTTTATTAGTTTTAAGCCATTTACAGAACATTGGCATCCTCACAAGGTACATGTTAAAACCACATATCCCATCGTGGTAAATAAACAAGATGATGAAATATTATTATCCCATCCTATCTTTATATGTAAAGGTTTGAATCTTTTGGAAGTGCCACAGTTGTCTAGAAATTTAACACAACCAGATTAGAAATTTGAAGAGTAGCTATCATATTTCTATCTTCTTCATTTAAGATCATCAGCGACAAACAAATGATGGTTACAATGTATGGTTTCTTTTTAATCTTATTATAATGAAAAGATGAAAACCAATGGACATAACACATGAGGAATGTCTTTAAATATTCTCCTTAATTTACTCCTTGGTAAATGATCATAAACAGTTATTGCACTTTTTTTGTCTTCATTAAACTAAATATTCATAATCTTGAAAGAACAATTTTATAGTATTTCACATCATTATGTAAATTAAGCATACCTCATAGTGATAAACATTAGCTCAAAGTTTGGTAACCCATAAGGCCTTGGAAACCATCTTTTCCTGTTGATGGAGGAATCCATGGAAACAATTTACCCAGACTCTTGCCTACTGTACTAAGATTCAGTCGCCTTTCTTTAATCCCAAACTTTGCTCGCTCTATTGCCTCCATCATATCATCTCTGGTAACCGTCTCAGCATCTGCAAGTGCATGCTATAAAATCTGATAATTCGGCCTTAGAAATAATAGAATTGTACAGTAGCCACGATGATGGGGAAATTTGTTCTCTCCAAAACTTTAGATGATAACAATAAAGCACATAAAAAATTTGACAAGAGAAATCAACAAGAGTAGAATAAATCTACAAGAAAAAAAAGTTGCGGAACCTAGAAGAATATAGTATCACATAATCAAATTTTAATGTGCTTCATGATAAAGGGCACCTAAACCAGTAAGATTCATGTATCAAAGAAAAAGCAGGGTCCAGGTGGGTCGACAAAAGAGATGAAGAAAGCAATTGCACAATGGGGGCTAACATAGAAAGGCTTGAGAGTATAAAGATAACAGGACAAAATTAGATCCTATCTAGTACTCCTGCCAACCAAGAAACAAATTTTGATCAACAGGCCAAGAATAGAAAGGAATAAAATACATGTATCAGTTTCTCTTTAATAAATTTACTAATAAATTTCTTGGCAAATAATCATATACTGACTTAACCAATGCTAGTAATGGTTTAAAAAGATAGCACAACCAACCTCTTCGAGCAGCAAGCAGAGCAGCTTCATTGACAATGTTTGCGAGATCAGCACCAACAAAACCTGCTGTGAGAGATGCAACAAGGTCACAGATTAACTCAATTTCTTCCTCCAGTGGTATTTGTCTCAGATGGACAGCCAAAATTTTTTTACGCCCTTCAAAATCTGGTTCACCGACAAGCACTTTCCTTGAAAAACGTCCTGGCCTGCAGAGAGCAGGATCTAGTGCTTCTGGTCTATTTGTTGCTGCAATAACAATCACTTTTGTCTCCGACTCAAAACCATCCATTTCTGTCAGCAACTGTAAATAATAAACCAAGCCATATTTAGAGAATTTGATATAAAACAAATTAATAAATGACCAATAGATAGAATTCAAAGCATACCTGATTAAGTGTTTGGTCCCGCTCATCATTGAAACTTCTTCCACGCTTTCCTCCCACTGCATCAAGTTCATCAATGAATACTATTGACGGTGCACATTCTTTTGCCACATTAAAAAGGTCTCTTACTCGTGCAGCTCCTCTTCCAACAAACAGTTCTACAAATTCACTAGCAGACACTGAGAAAAAAGGGACTCCTGCCTCTCCAGCAACTGAGCGAGCTAGTAATGTCTTCCCAGTGCCTGGAGGTCCCACAAGCAGCACACCTGTGGGCAATTTTGCTCCTAACTTTTTGTAGTTCATTGATCCTTGTAAGCAAGATACTATCTAAAGATAACAGCTTTGTTTGATTAGAGTTCCATCACAGCAGAAAAAAAATATGGAACTAGGTAAACATAGATGTGGTCTTAAACAAATAAACATACTCTATGTTCATTTAATCTAAATATCACAAATCAAAAGAATAACCAACAATAGATAGTAACTGCATAAATGAAACTAAACATACCCAATTTCTGCAGACAGAACTGATTTATAACAGTTCCATAAAAAGAAATTTAGGAAAATTTCTTCTTAGAATCAAGTGCTTATATATATACCACATGGTATTCAAACTTATCATTGTCAACAAAAACAGATACAGATAGAACCTCTTATATCTTTAAAACATAAATATTTAGCAATTTTGCCTTGAGTGTAATGGGTGTTTTATGAACATGTCCATGATTGACAAGGAAGAACAACTTAACTTCTCAGATCCTATATACCAAAATATCTAACAGAAGAGAATATAATTTAATTAATTTCACAGCAATATATTGAATCCATAAATTCCTCCAGTTCCATCTCTGACATAATATATTGTTTCAAATCTGAGTTCTTTGAACAATCAATTAAGGACCATGAAAAAATTAGATCAATCAGTTGAAACCATATCAGTGATTGAAAAAGACGCTCGGGCGCTCGCCTAGGCGCTCGGGCGAGGCGAGGCGAGGCCTGAGCGCCTCGCTAATCTCCCAGGCGGCGCGCTTCAAACAGGCGCCGCCTGGGCGCTCGCCCGAGCCCAGGCACTAAGCTTCGGGCGAGCGCCTGGGTAAACCAAGGCGACCGAACCAGGATTTTAGGCCTGGTTCGGTTGTTAGTTGGTTCAATCGAACCAACTAAACCGATATAACCCTTACCCAACCCTAACCCGCTGCCGCTGCCGCTCCCGATCCCGATCTCGCTGCTCGCAAACGCTGTCGTTGTCGCCGCTCGCCGCTATCGCTGCTCGCAAACGCTGCCTCTGTCGCCGCTCGCACCTCCCGCTGCTCGTCGCCGCTGTCGCTGCTCGCGCCTCCCTCTGCTTGCGCCTCCCGCGAGCCCTCCCACTGCTCGCGCCTCCCGCTGCTCGCTGCTCTCGCTCCCTTTCCCGCTGTCGCTGTCGCTCGTCGCTGCCGCTATCGCCGCTCGCCGCTGCCACCGCCGCTTCCTCGTTTCTCCGTCAGTAGGCTTATACTGTTAATATTAAGTTTATTTGAATTTTGAAATGATTAATTTTCAATACTATTAATAGATTAATAATATATTATTTTGATTTTAATGTTGTTAATTTTTATTTACTTGATTTTGTATTTTAGATTTTCTTAATTTAATAGCATATTTTTATTTAAAATTTTAAATAATTATATTTATTAATTATATTATATATTTTTATATTTTAGCGCCTCGCTTCGCTTAGGCGAGCGCTTGGGCGAGCGCCTAGCGCCTCGGGCGTTTTTGGACCTTGGCGCCTAGCGCTTTTTAAATCACTGAACCATATAACATGCATGCATGAAAACCATGGATTAGTATATCAAAGATTGCAAAGTATGAATAATACCACAAGGACTTCTGTAATAACTTTAAGGGTGCAAAGATTTAAAATTATGTAAGTTGGTGACCGACAATGTGTTTCTTCATTTTGTCAATCAGGCCGCTTCTAGGTATTATGCCTACTCCAAATAGCAGAACTTGACAAAGACATGACAGACTGATCTTTGTGTGTAGATGAAGATGTCATGAATTACTAAAGATCAGATCATCAACCAAAACATAGCAGAAGAGACTCTAGGAGACAAGTGATCAAAAGACTACTCATGTTGAAAGAGTTTGCATGACTAGGAGATTGGTCAATAGATGAACAACCTGTTGACAAAAAAATCTGCATAGACAGGATCAACAATGATTATTCATCATTTATTATCTGTTAATGTGTTTTGGCTGTTTCAATCACTTATTTACTCATAGACAGAAGGAGGGTGAGACTTGGTACCATAGCAAGGTTGTTCCTTTATGAACTAGGTGATCAGGGTTCAAGTCCTTAAAACAACCTCTCTACGAGGGATTAAATTGTGTAGATTGATCCCCTCAAACTGTACTCATTGGGAGCCTGATGCACTAGGCCGTATTTTTTAGGTAGTTAAGTGTGGTGACAAATAATTTTTTCATTAATTAAGGAAAAGAAATCATAAGTTCAAAAAATAACATTGTGTTCAGATACTGAAGACAAAGATAAGATAACATAAACTTAATTGTTTGGTGCTTCTTATCCACATACTATTAGCCAATGTCTTCAATTTTGAATAATACCGTCTGATATGGGTGGTACATATCGGTCCGTCAGCAGACCGGTATACGGACTGCCCGGGCAGCATATATATATACATATATACATACATATATACATACATATATATATATATACATATATACATATATATATATAAGGCTGTTAGGATCAAGAGTTGGGGTCGGCACTTGGGTGGGGGGGGGGGGGGGTGAATTAGTGCAGCGGTAAAAATTACGCCTTCAAAACTTTCGTACGATAAAATCTATTTACGTAGAAAACCGATTTCGGAAACTTAACTTTGAAAGCATACGTAAGAGAGTAGTGGATGTAAAGAGCAAGTAAGGAGGTTTGCAATTAAAGTAAATTGCTCAAAGAAATGCAAACCAGATTTTAGAGTGGTTCGGTCGTCGAGACCTACATCCACTTCGCCGATTCCTCTTCCGTCGAGGCCACCGGCATCCACTATCGATCTTCCTTTAATAAGCGAAGATCAACCTCCTTCTTACACCCCTCTTCTCCTTTTACCGGGTTTCAGAGACAACCCTTACAAGCACTCACTCCTCCTAAACAGAATTCTAAACTTAGACTTAGAGAAGGGGATTTCTCAAGTGATTGCAATAGCGTTTCTTCACTTTTAAACTCTCTATGCTTGTGTAAGTTAACCAGGGATGAGAGGGGTATTTATAGGCTTCAAGTTGATTCAAACTTGGAACCTAAAAAGGTCTCATCCTAGGTTTCCTTAGTACTGGCGGTACCACCGCCGTTCCTGGGCGTTACTACCGCCGTAGGATCTGGTACTGGGCGGTACCGCCGAACAGGGGCGGTACCACCCCCCAGGTTTCCTGGGATGCTGTTCCCCAGGCAGTGCCACCGCCGGCCAGGGTTTCAGCACTCTGGTTGGGCCTTGAATCCGGCCCAAACCAGTCCAACTTCGGCCTAGTTGGCCCCTAACAGAGTTGATGGGATTACCTCCCAATCCCAACTCTAATATGTGCTAAGTACGATTCCTAAGACATAATCTAAGCAAGATAAGTCTGGTTTCTTCCGACGAACTTCCGACGATCTCTCGGCAATGTTCCAGCAGACTCCCAGCAAGCTCCTGGACTTCACGACGATCTTCTTGAAGAGTTCCGACGAGCTTCTCTGGCAAGCTCCGAGACTTCTCTAGCAAGCTCCGAGACTTCTCGGCTGGTTCCGACATAACTTCAGACGAACGTCCGGACTTCCGACGAACTCTCGAACTTCCAACGAAATCGCGTCCTTGACTCCAGGACTTCATTTTGCTTCATGCCTTGCTATTGTAGTTAATCCTGCACATGTAAAAACACACTTCGATCTAGACAATTAATACTAAGCATTAATCATGTTGTCCGGCATGTCATTGGTCCCTCGATGATTCGTCCGATTCTTCAGCGCATCGTCCTCTCTTGTGGCCTATTGCCCGATCGGCTAGTTGACTCCGCAACTCCGATATCCTTGGTACAATATCCGCTCTTCTTGGCCCGATGCCCGAATCCATGGCTCGAAGCCTTCTGTCGATACGTCGACCGATCCTCCGGCTGGACGTCCAATCTTTTGGCATGTTTTCCCCCGGCACAATAGGATTCTACTTGCTTTAATTGTCTCATCCTGATCGAAGCATCCTGCGTCACTCAAAACGCAGATTAAATCATAAACACTTATCAATTGGTTTCATCACCGAGATTCAATAATCTCCCCCTTTTTTATGATGACAAACAATTGATGACGGAGTTAACCTTAACTCCCGGAGTTTAAACAAACTCCCCCTATCAATATGGCATATTGATAGAACCCTGAATTCAAGTCGAATTCAAGTCATTGCAAATTTCATCATGAATATTTGCAACACATCATCATGCATAACATGATCATACTTCTCCCCCTTTGTCATCAACAAAAAGGATAAGCGTAACTTTCACGTGTTTAGACATAGGAGTTCAAATCATTGCATAATAAATCTCAAGTTTTATCATCATTGCAAGCTAGCAAAAAATTTAAGATGTTCAAGAAGGCAACTTTTGCTTCTTGAAATATGCAAATTAGCAATCTTTGCTTCTCTCTTGAGATGAGCAAGCTAATATGTTTTCGCATCTTCTTGACTTGTGGAAGCTAACAAGTTTACCTCTTTTCATGATGTGTACACTAGAAATTCTTTCTCCCCCTTTGTCATTGGCAAAAAGAGGGGAATAACAAAACAATGATGCACTTCATCAATTTTTAAATTATGACAAAAATAAAGTGTTATTCTTATTTCAATATGTCATAATTGAGATAAACCTTGAATTTAAATTTAATTCAAGTCAATGCAATTTTAATCATGATTCTCATACATGATATGCAATACATCAAATACATCATCATAATAAAATCATAAGTATTGCAAGCATCATTTAAAATAAGCTAGCAATTTTGCTTCCTAGAAAGTTTTTCTCCTTGCAATTTGTGAGATAACAAATTTTACACATGCAAGTTGGCAAAAATTTTTTACATCTTTTGGAATGAGCAAGCTTTTTGCTTCTTTTTGAAGTATGCAAGCTAGATAGCAAGCTAGCAAAATTTCTCCCCCTTTCTCATTGTACAAAAAGAAGGGAAAAAAATAATTTTGTAATTCTTTTTTCCTTTACAATAATTTTCAAATCATAACAAAGGTAAATAACAAAGATGAAAAATCAAGTCATGAATGTCAAGATCATAGTATTGCATGCATTCATATCGTCATATGAAGAATATCAAGAAGAACTTGGTGATGAGATAAACATTTCATAAATACAATGAATTTTACATAATAAAATTTATGTCATAAATTATCAAGATGTCAAGTAGCATATCATGATTAGTTTAAATACATCCTTTTTTTAGTGAATATCAAGAAGAATCATAGTATGAAAAATCTTGATTCATAGAAAAATCTCATGTATCGAATATCGATAAATCAAGATGATGATTCATAAAAAAAATCATAAGTTATAATCAAGAGAAAAATCATCATTCATTTTTAATTCATTCAATTTGTCAAATCAACATTTCTTGAGTATGCATGATATCAAAATATGATTTCAAATCTTCAACATATAACATGCATAATTTCAAAAATTGAAAAAATTGAAAGGAGAAGGGAAGAATTCAAAGGTACAAAGATTTCAACTATCTCGTAAACAAATGAAAAATCAAGTCATGAATCCAAAATTTCATGAATTATTTCGACAAATCTCCTTTTAAATAATCAAAATGATCATCAAAGGTAATCTCATGTTATTCCAAGAAATCAAGATCATGATTTTTATAAAACTCATTTCAAATTCAAATCATCAAAATTATCAAAATCTCAACATTACTTTCAAGAGATTTAAAAAGACACAAACAACTTTATCAATCTCTTAGTGAAAAATTGATAAGATAGAGAAAGAAAAATTTTCAAACAAATGCTTTTCTCTTTTTAGTTGTTTCAATTCATGTGATTTATTTCATAGAAACATGTCTTTTTCATTTATGCCAAATAAAAAACATGCATAATACATTAACACAGAAAAAAAACTTTCAAAAGATCGCAATAACTATCATGCATAAGTTTGAAATATAAACTCGTTAAGCATGCTTTCAAATCATCATTATATTTTCATTAAGATATCAAGCATGTTTTCGTTGAACATGAGGTTGAATGATTTTTAAGTACATCTAAACTTAGTTTCAATTTGTGTGATTGACTTTATATTAGGATGCCCAAATATTTATTCTTACGTCAAAACCATGCATTAATGTTTAAAACGAAAAGATCTAAACTCATCAAGATCAAAAAGTGTAACATATAATTCCAAAACATATGATTTCAAATCATTACTTCAAATCATCATGCATAATTTCAAAAAATAAATTTATTAGGCATGATATCATCAAACATGATTTCATAAGGTATTTTTAATCAATATCATTTAGTTTGTTTATCACATGTAATTTTCATGATCATTACTAGAAGGATAAGCATGATTCTTAATTTTTTACATTTTTATTACATTATTAAACATGTAATTTACAAGAAAAATAAGTTTAAAAAAACATCACAAAAAGCATCATGTAATTTCAAAAATAAATTAAGGGGGTTTCGATTACCTCATCGTTGAAAGCGGTTAAGACGTAGTTTGTCACATCGCCTTTGTTGATTTTTCCTCGTCTTCGAATGAGCTTGATTCGTCCCAAGGAGCTTCCTTCTTATTGCGTTTATAGCAAATAGTTGCGTTCTTTTTGTTCTTTAATTTTTGTTTCATGAATTTTTTAAATTTCATGAGTAATTCAAGTTTACCATCACTTGAGCTTATGCTCGAATGGTCTTCAATTGTTCTAAGTTCAAAATCCTTCATGTTCTTTAGAAGGTGGTTCTTAAGTTCTTCACGTGCATTGCACGTCATTTCATAGGTCATTAGAGACCCGATAAGTTCTTCGATCAAAAAAGTATTCAAATTTTTTTACTCTTGTATAGCCGTTATTTTCGAATCCTAATTCTTAGAAAGCGATCATAAAATTTTGTTGATAAGATCAAAATTCGAAAAACATTTGCCAAGAGCTTTTAAACCATTGACGACATCCGTAAAACGGGTGTACATGTCAACAATGATTTCGCTAGGCTTCATTCGAAAAAGTTCAAAATCATGCAATAAGAGATTAACTTTAGACTCTTTAACTCTATTCGTGCCTTTATGTGTGATTTCGAGAATGTGCCAAATATTGAAAGTCGTTTCGCACAAAGAAACCCGATTGAATTCGTTTTTGTCTAAGGCGCAAAACAAGGCATTCATAGCTTTTGCATTTAGAGAAAAAGTCTTCGTCTCCAAATCATTCCAATGGTTCATTGGAAGAGAAGACATTTGAAAACCAAATTCGGCTATTTGCCATAAATCGAGATTCAATGAAAGCAAGAAAACTCTCATTCGAGTTTTTCAATAAGTGTAGTCCGTCCCATTGAAAAAAGTAGGACGAATGAGAGAGTGACTCTCTTGAAAACCGAAAAGAGTCATTTCTCTTTGGGTGTTAAACCAAATGAGAAAACCTTGCTTTGATACCAATTGTTAGGATCAAGAGTCGGGGTCGACACTAAGAGGGGGGGGGGGGAGGGAGTGAATTAACGCAGCGATAAAAATTACATCTTCAAAACTTTCGTACAATAAAATCTATTTACGTTGAAAACCGATTTCGGAATTTTAACTTTGAAAGCGTACGTAAGAGAGTAGTGGCTGTAAAGAGCAAGTAAGGAGGTTTGCAGTTAAAGTAAATTGCTCAAAGAAATGCAAACCAGATTTTAGAGTGGTTCGATCGTCGTGACCTACATCCACTTCACTGGTTCCTCTTCCGTCGAGGCCACCGGCATCCACTATCGATCTTCCTTTAATAGGCGAAGATCAACCTCCTTCTTACACCCATCTTCTCCTTTTACCGGGTTTCGGAGACAACCCTTACAAACACACACTCCTCCTAAACAGAATTCTAAACTTAGACTTAGAGGAGGGGATTTCTCAAGTGATTGCAACAGCGTTTCTTCACTTTTAAACTCTCTGTGCTTGTGTAAGTTAACTAGAGATGAGAGGGGTATTTATAGGCTTCAAGTTGATTCAAACTTAGAGCCTAAAAATGTCTCATCCCAGGTTTCCTGGGTACTGGTGGTACCATCGTCGTTCTTGGGCGGTACTACCACCGCAGGATCTGGTACTGGGCGGTACCACCGTTGGCAGCATTGATGTCGACGGTACCACCGCCCAGGTTTCCTAGGGTGCTGTTCCCCAGGCAGTGCCACCGCCGACCAGGGTTTCAGCACCCTGGTTGGGCCTTGAATCCAGCCCAAACCAGTCCAATTTCGGGCCTAGTTGGCCCCTAACAGAGTTGATGGGATTACCTCCCAATCCCAGCTATAATTATGTGCTAACTACGATTCCTAAGACATAATCTAAGCAAGATAAGTCTGGTTTCTTCCAGCGAGCTTCCGGCGAACTTCCGACGATCTCTCGGCAATGTTTCGACGGACTCCCGACAAGCTCCTAGACTTCACGACGATCTTCTTGGAGAGTTCCGACGAGCTTCTCTGGCAAGCTCTGAGACTTCTCGGTTGGTTCCGATAGAACTTCCGACGAACGTCCGGACTTCCGACGAACTCTCAAACTTCCAACGAAATCGCGTCCTTGACTTTGGGACTTTATTTTGCTTCATGCCTTGCTATCGTAGTTAATCCTGCACATGTAAAAATACACTTCAATCTAGACAATTAATACTAAACATTAATCATGTTGTCCGGTATGTCATTGGTCCCTCGACGCTTCGTCTGATTCTTCGGCGCATCGTCCTCTCTTGCGGCCTATTGCCCAATCGGCCAGTTGACTCCGCAACTCTGATATCCTTGGCGCAATATCCGCTCTTCTTGGCCCGATGCCCGAATCCATGGCCCGAAGCCTTCTGTCGATACATCGACCGATTCTACCTGACATGTTTTCTCCCGGCACAACATGATTCTACCTGCTTTAATTGTCTCATCTTGATCGAAGCATCCTGCGTCACTCAAAACGCAAATTAAATCATAAACACTTATCAATTTGTTTCATCATTAAAATCCGAGATTCAACAAAGGCGACGTCGCCTTTCCCTTCTCCCATGCAGGGGAACGTCGTCGACGCGACGCGACATCGCCTTTTATAAAAATACTTATATATAAAAAAATCTTTTATATATAAATATATATAAGATTTTTTTTACTTATATATATATATAGGCGACGTTACCGAGGCGACATCGCCGAATTTATATATATACATATATATATATATATGTACATATATATATATACATATATATGTGTACATATATATACATATATGTACATATATACATATATATACATATATACACACATACATACATACATATTTATACACAGATATATACATATATACACACATACATACATACATACATATATATACATACATATATATATATATATATATATACACCGAACGATATACCGCTCGGTATACAGTATCGTACCGTACCGAGCGAATGTCGAAACTCCGGTACGGTACGATATTTCAAACCTTGCTATTAGCAATCATGTAATATGCATCTATAATGATCATCTTCCTAATGAGTACCATTTATAAAATTGAGTCAATACTAAAAAGTAGGGAAAAAGTAAAATGAGAGAGAGGGAACAAGAGTAAAAGCTTACCTCCATCAATTCTAGCTTGGCAGCATCAACTCCCTCCACATCATCAAAACTGACAGACTGCTTACTAGGCCGCCGCTTCTTTGCAGGGCCATTGCTAGCATAGAATTGGTGATAAAGCAACCACAACATTGGGGCTATTGGGATCCACAAAGTAATCAATGTGATAACAAGACTTCTCAATAACTTTACTGCAGATTGAGGAGCAGAACTGTATGTGGTCCCTCTCTCTCTCATCAAACCAAGAAGAAAACTCTCATCATGCTCAACTTTTCTTGTAGAGTATTGCCACTTTGAGATAGATTTACCACCTCTCTCCCTTTCATTTGTAATGCTTTCAGATGATTTTGGTGCACTGACATCTGAGACATCGACAGTCAGTGATGATTCTTCTACTGACTTCAAACTCTCATTATCTTCAAATTGCTGATTAAAGTAAATATAGCGGGAATCCTCTTCGAATTGAACAGCTGACACGCTTCCACTCTTCAGGGCCGATACAAAATCTGAATATGGAACATCCACCGATGCAGGTCTAGCTGTGCACTTCAAGAACAAGAAACACACCCCTAGGGCAACAGAAAACCAAGCAGATAGCATAAGCTTCTTCGAGTTTCTGAGCAACACTGTTCTAGCATTTTCCACCAATCGTTGAACCGACAATCTCCTCAATCTATAAGAGAGCAACCGCAGCCTGGGGCGCAATCTCAGGGAGAATCGCCTTCTCGACCTAGGCTTCCCTCGAATCCCAAAATGGGTATGCTTCTCGTTGCTGCTCCTATCAATCTTCGCAAATACAATCCTATTACATTTGGACAATAACCGAAATCTCCGCGAAGAACCCCATAAAGAAAGACATCGGGAGTTGCGACAACAAAGAGAGGAAGACGAAGTAAGATCCCAATGTCTTTCTTCCAAAGACAAGATTTTTCCTTCTTGCAGGCTCAATCTCCTTCTATGAGAGAACAATCTAGGCCAATTTGAAGAAGAATGGTGAGGGCTAAAAACCCCATGAGTTGAAACCAAGGAGAACGGGCTCATATCGGCACTTCTGCCCAAGAATCAGGAGGCTTTCACTTCAGTTTGAAGGCCAAGAAATCATCAAGCAAAAAAATCGATTTTTTTTTCCGATCAAAAAGAGCCCGAAACCTGTGAACAAAAAAAATCCATACATGCCTACAAAAATGCTACAGGAATTCAAGAAAGGGCTTTAGGAAGGAGGCAGACATGTACCTGCGTTTGCTCTCGAGGGTTTTATGGCCTCATCCGTCTCATTTGTTTTGTTCTTTATCCTCGATTTTATTCCACGAGGCATTAAGAGGTTGGGTGTGGGATTGGGGGAGCGTAATGGATAACGGGCGCGGTTCACCTGTGTCACCCCAGACAGGGAACACCAAGACCATGTCACACCCGATTCATTAAGCCTAATGACAGTCATAGTCGATCAGCTTTTTCGAATACCCGTATCTATTCGATCCACATAGTAGATCCGATACCCTTTAAGTATAAAGTAAGTAAACTGCGTTAGTTAATAGCATTGATGTCGGATTCGGATGAAATTATTAAGAATCCGATCCGTTGTGGGCCAACAAGCTTGGACCCGCAAAGTCAGCCAGTCCCCGACTTCGATCCCTCACACACAAAGCTTAAAGGAGGAATTTATGATTATAATTAAACTAAAATAAATAAAATGTAAAAATAGAATACATCGGCGGATCTCACAAACATTTCGCTCGCTCTCTCTCTCTCTCTCTCTCTCGTTCCAAATTCTAATCGTGCGATTCGAGTTTGTTCCTTGAAGATACTTAAGCCTTGAGGTCGGTTCCAATTCTTCACTTGTGAATTGTTGTTAGCACTTGTTTTTCTCGATTAGATCCGGCAATGAATGTTAGGTTTTCATCGGCTTTGCTGAAAGCACCGAAAGGATTCGATCTTTTGCTAAATTCGAGCGTTTTTGCTCTGTATTCTTGGATTTAGTTAATTTGGATAGAACTTCGATTTCTCTCTCGAAAATTGTTCTTCTTTTCCCCTTTGTTTTTGAGGCGTTGGGCTGTTCTCCATTCAATAGTTTGGCGTTATTGATTGCGATCAGTTTGTTAAGATCGTGTAGATGTTTTGGGAGTGAGAGTTTTTGAACAGGGTGGAGATGTCCATCGTAATAAGTTTTCCCGGCCTATTCTGTAATTTGGTTGTGTGGGGATTGGATTTTTTTCTTTTATTTGTCCAAGATAGAGTACTCATGATTGTTGCATTATAACTTAGGTGGATATGTTTGTGTAAATTTGATAAGCTTGACTCGCTGTGTGCATGAAACCATAATTTAAGTCTCAAGACGCCATCAGATGCATCAAAATTTTGATTTTGTAGAAATGTAGCATTTTTATCTCATTTTTAATTTTTTTTATAACTTCATCAAGATCAAATATACAAACAGTTTTCTTGGAATCATATGACATGCAAACAACCTTGAAGTTTGGCTTTCTCATTGACATTTGCCTCTGCTAAATTTGTAAAGTTGAATGCCCTGAAGTATCTCTTGATGACCAGTTTGTGATTTTTCTTTCCTTTGACCTAGAACTTACAAGTGCAGGTCCATGTGGAGAAGTATGAATTATTTGTAGTGCTTGTCTCGCAAGGGGTGGTTTACTGACTAATAAAGGGGAAATGAAATCCACAACTGCTGAGGTGGATCCAGGATCATATCTGCTTTCAAGAACAGTTGATGGTTTTGGATTTACAAAACAAGAACAGAGCAACTCAACAGAGGCCTTATCTAGAAACAGACCTGTGGATGACCATCCCAATGACAGGCATGTTTGACAACATTGGATTTTTTATTTCTCCCACTTATGCATGTTTCTCCTTTGTAAAGATTATCCAATTTAAGTATCATTGGTGACATAAAACAGGGCAGTCAGTAAATATTATCATTTGCAATACCATTCTATATGGGTCAAGAATTACAGAAAGGGTTAAATGTAGATCATATGAGGCACTTTCTTTCATATTACTGGCTACTAGTATATAGATCTGACAGATCAGTTAGTCTTCATTTTAGTGAACTGCTACAAAATACTCCACATTTGTTATATTGCTGGATGAGAGTTATTTTACGCATGTTGCAAATACATGAAATAATGTTAGTGTACTTATTCATGTTTTCAAATATGAATATATGAAATAATGTAGGTGTACATATGCAATCTTCACATGTTGCAAATATGTGAAGCAATATTATCTTTTGGTAAATTCTTCCTTGTTTCATATTGCATTTCTTCCTCAAAGGATTTCAACCTAATGGACACGACATAAACAGTATTGTGACACATTCTACTAGATATGAAGACTTCTAAGTTTTCTTTTCTCTGTTCAATTTATGAAATATTGGTGTTATTTATCCCTACTGCTGCTGCTTTCTTTTCACTAAAGTTCTTTACAAACTTGTATCTGTTAGGAAGTTTCATGGTGTATTTTTCAAAAAGGAAAAAACAACAATGTTTGTACTTACATGTGCATCTTCTTACTACTAATCTGTGGTTATTGATTTTTTACAGAGAACAAAAGAGGATAAGAAAATGGAGGAAAATGATAGGTGTTGGTGGGAGTGACTGGAAGCACTATGTTAGAAGAAAACCTCATGTAGTTAAGAGACGTATTAGAAAAGGCATCCCTGACTGTTTAAGAGGACTTGTTTGGCAGTTGATTTCTGGAAGTCGAGACCTCCTGCTAATGAATCCAGGGGTTTATGAGGTACTTTCTGTTTCATGCTTTGTAAAAGGTATTCCCTATTTCAACTGAAGTGACATTTCTTGTTGGACTGGTGCAATCTGGATCTATATGATTCAGAAGCATCCAATATTGTTTAGTACCTAATACATAAGTAGAAATGTTATTTTATCGTAAAGTAATGATTTAAATTATCTATTCTTTTATATGACAAGGCGTTCTGCAGCATCACTTTTAAAATCAAATTTATGTGGAAAATGATCAAATTTTCTTAATTGTCATTGCAGTTTTTGCAGGTTTCTTTACCAAAATATGCACTGTGTGGTTTCATCTTTAGCTGATTAAAAGAAAGCTTAAACTGCTAAAACTTTTGCTGCAGCAACTGGTGATATATGAGACATCAGCATCAGAATTGGAAATAATTCGAGACATATCTCGTACTTTTCCATCACATGTTTTCTATCAACAGAGACATGGACTAGGGCAAAGATCCCTGTACAATGTTTTAAAGGCTTACTCTGTATATGACAGGGATGTTGGATATGTTCAGGTTTAGTTGTCAACTGTATAACAATTCAGAAATCAATCAATTAAAGATTTTGTTATTCTTAGGATATCATTTGATGCAACCTTTTCTGCTGCAGGGCATGGGTTTTTTAGCAGGTTTGTTACTTCTTTATATGAGTGAAGAGGATGCCTTCTGGCTGTTAGTTGCTTTGTTAAAGGGAGCCATTCATGCACCAATGGAAGGCTTGTACCAGGTAACTGCATTTAATCTAAGTACTCATTTGTCTAGCCATGTTATATGAAGTTCTTTCTGACTCTATGCTTTCTTATTTTACATGTACAGAAGTCATAGTAGTATAGAGGTGATAAATTGTCACTACAGTAACATTACCCTTTATAATCTGTATATCATCTCCCCAGTTTGTGTGCCTCAGAATGTTTTGGTCAAAAAGGGCATGGATTACGTCAGTATTATTCTTCATCTTACTCCTGGTCTTCAAGAGTTGTTGTGAGGTTGTCTGGATTTTTGCCTGAAAGAAGTGTTTGCAATTTTGCCTGGTTTGTCTTGTATCAATCAATGTTTACTGGTCCGAGACCGAACTGAGATGCGAGATGTAGACCACCCCCATTTCGCGAAGTCCAGTAAGGTGTATTTTTTAGAAAAACTTTAAAGTTCAAATAACTTCTGCTTCAACACAAGCCCCCTTCTCCATACATGCAAAGCCCGAAATCGCAACCTGGTCACTCCTGTCTGCTGCTTACCTCCCTGCTGCCCACCATGCATCGTCAAGCTCAGGTACCTTCCTCTTCTTACATTGCTTCCTTTTCTTCCTTCCGCTTTCTCCATTGTGTCTTCTTCTTTCTTCCTCTGTCTACACTACTCCTATTTCCTTTCCTCCACTGCCTTCTCTTCCGCCTTCCTCTGCCTCCTCCTCCTCTTCTTCCTTCATTTTCCCATTCTTCTTCTTCCTCTTCAGTAGAAATTGGTGTTCCATGTGTCAATTCACTGTACCAATTGGTATGTATCTGATAAGACCCTAAAGTCTTATCGTAGGCTCTGATACCAAATAATAAGACCCTAAAGTCTTATCGTCGCTCTGATACCAATTGATAAGACCCTAAGGTCTTATCGTGGAAGAAATGAGAGAAAAGGGAAGCGGCAGTGGACTTTGGCCGGAAGTGGGGCAGAGTCCGTTGCTGGCCGGAGAGCAGCGACGGGCGGTGGGTGGGCTGGCCGGAAGCAGGGGTGCGTGGCTGCGGTTGCTGCTTCTTCTCTCTTCTTTCTTTCTTTCTTTCCTTCGTTTATTCTTTTTTTTATTTTTTTATAGCTTCGTTGCAGCGAGAACGCCAAGGATCGCTGCTCTGATACCAATTGATAAGACCCTAAAGTCTTATCGTAGGCTCTGATACCAATTGATAAGACTCTAAAGTCTTATCGTCGCTCTGATACCAAATGATAAGATCCTAAAGTCTTATCGTAGGCTCTGATACCAAATGATAAGACCCTAAAATCTTATCGTCGAAGAAAGGGAAGAAATGAGGATGATAATGATCACTTCGAGGGGATCGGCCGGGAAGCAACGGCGGCGGTGGAGAAGGAGTTGCCCTGCAGCGGCAGTAGAAAGAAAGAAAAAAAAAGGCACCCCTGCTTCCTCGGCGTTCTCGCTGCAACGTAACAAAAAAAAAAGGCAAAGAAAGAGAGAAAGAAAGAAAGAAGAGAGAGAGAAGAAAAAGAAGCCGCAGCCACGCACCCCTGCTTCCCCTGCTTGCGGCCAGCCCACCGCCGGCCATCGCTGCTCTCCGGCCAACGACCGTCCCTGCCCCGCTTCCGGCCAGAGTCCACTGTGGCCGTCGCCTCCCACTCGAGCCACCATCGCTGGTAGGAGACGACGCTGCCAGCGTCTCATCCTGCCGTAGCCCCGCTTCCCTTCTGCCCCACTGCCGTTGCAAGGCAACTTCTTCCCCACCGCCGCCGCTGCTTCCCAGTCGCTCCATCACCGCCGCCCGCCTCTCAGCCGCAACCCTAACCGAGCGCGCCCCCCCCCCTTGGGTTGCAGCCGCAGCCGCCGGTTGCCGCAGCCCCTCGTTGCAGCGGTTGCAGAAACAGAGCTTCCTCTGTTGCCGCAGCCCCTCGTCGATCGCAGCCACGCCTCGAGCGCCGTCGCCTTCCAGCCGACCCACCACCACTGCCAGCCACCGTGCGGCGACCGCTGCTCGCCTCCCAACCGTCGCTCCCCCTGGCTCGGGCGAGAACGACCGCCGCCACTTCCCCTTGCTCTGCCCCCTTGGTGACCGAAACAGGGCAATCCTCTTGCTGTTGCGAACGGTTGCCACCACCGTCGCCGCTGCTGCCTAGCCAGCGACGACGCCGCTTGTCACGGACAAACTTTGAAACAGGATGTTTGATGTAATGCTTATATCTGTCCGTGTCTGTTGGCATGTTCATGCCTTGTACAGAATGTAGAGGGACGGCCGAAGGCTTAATAGTCCCACTTTAGTTGGGTTGGTGGCCTCTTTAGGCTTGTAAATAAAGGTTGTGTCATGTGGACACGTGCGAGAGCTTCTCGGTCTGTAATGGACCATTTTACCCTTTGTTGTGCCACTGTTCAGAGCTTGTAAAGTCTGTTTGTAATTTGCATTGTCTATGAAGTGTTTTTCGGAGATGTTTGCTTGTGGATCCCGATTCAGGCGTTCTCTCTTGCCCGTTCTCTCTTTTGTTGGTCCTAAGGAACAATGAGAGTCTTCGGGGAGGCAGACCTTTGCGGACGGACACGCAAGGGTGCCGCACGACTTAGGCAAAACCAGCTAAGTCCGTGTCATATGGTATTAGAGCGGGACAAGCACTCATAGAAACACTTGACATACAAACGTGGGGGACCTAGCGGGGCTGCGTTGAGGGCAGTCAGCACACGCGCGACCGTTTGAGGGAAAACGGGCATGTAGATGTAGGGAAAAGAGTCGCTCAGAGGAGCGGGCATCTGAGATTGGCATTCAGAGGAATGGCCAACCCTTCGCGCAAGAGGCACCACAATAACAGGCAAGCTTGGAAGAATTTGGAGCGCACAAAGGTTGGGATGGCTGAGTTTGAGCTACGGCTCAATGTTGACAACTATACTTGATGGTGCTCTAGGCAAGCGAGGCGCTTGGCAAGAATGAGACCATGCAAGGTGGAATGAGTTGCTCAACGACCAAAAGAGTTATGCAAAGCTCACAGAGGTGAGGGGAATTGCTAACTCGAAGAATTTGGTACTCATGCATGGGCTTGTATGCGGACGATGGAATGTTCGTGGCCATCCCAAGGCGACCGAGACTCAGCGCCATGGAGCATTGAAACTTTCTCTTCGGCATGCGAAGGATACGTCCGGAGGAGGCTGAAGTGTGCAACGAGTTCAGCATGTTGCTAGGCCTTGAGGGGTGCAGCGGTGGCTGTATTGACGTGGAGGCGCAATCTAGCAAGTGCGTTTGCAAGAGGCAGAACAATGCACAGTTTGTTCAGCAGATCGGAGTAGTCCAAGGGGATGGTGGTCTCCGAAACGAAGAGAGATGTTGCTCCAACGGGATAGTTATCCAGGAGGGATAAGTCTCGTTACTCTAGAGGGAGAATCATGTGAGACGGACTTCACATGTTGAGGAGGAGTACCTCACAAACAACAACTCCACGAAGCTCAATGGACCGAGCAAGCAGCGAGGAGTTGCCGCATGATCTCGCTCGAGAGAATGCATTGGTGGATGCATTGCGAGATCAAGTGGTGGAGCGACCTAAAGCAACTTAAATGAAGGCACACTTGGAGTCGATGTGGAGATCGGACTCAAGGGAGGGCTGACCCGTGGAATGGTGGGCACGAGGGCCACCATCGACTCAATGCAAAAACGAGGAGCGGAGCAACTTGGGTGTAACTTGGCGAAGTACCCAAGCCGCATGAAGGGAGCCAGCAGAGAAGTTGGAACATGGAGCAGAGGCACAGTGCTTTTCTTAGACAAAGGTCAAGGACATGAGCTCTTGCAGAGGCAAGAGCAGGATCATGTTGTTCCATGGGTCCTTCATTCTGACGGAGTGGACTCATCTTGCATGGTGCCAAAGACGAAGGGAGCTTCTGGGCATATGCACCTTATCTCGGAGGAGCATTTGATGGAGGAACTAAGGCGACTCAATTTGCGGAGGCGAAGTTGGGTTCAGAAGGCCTTAGCACGGGGCAAGAGGACGCAGAGGCGGGTACTCTTGAAGAATATGCCACAGTGTTGCCATTCGAGTTGCTAGGAACG